TTCTGCATTCAGTTGGGTGTATCTTTCTCCCTTGCCTTTCGCTTCCCTTCTTTCCTCAACTATTTGTAAAGCTTCCTCAGACAGCCATTTTGCTTTCTTGCATTTCTTTTTCTTTGGGATGGTTTTAGTTGCTACCTCTTGTACAATGTTGTGAACCTCCGTCCATAGTTTTTCAGGCACTCTGTCTATCAGATCTAATTCCTTAAATATATTTGTCACCTCCACTGTATATTCATCAGGGATATGATTTAGGTCATATCTGAGTGGCCTAGTGCTTTTCCCGACTTTCTTCAATTTAAGCCTAAATTTTGCAACAAGAAGCTCATGATCTGAGCCACAGTCAGCTCCTGGTCTAGGTTCTACTGACCGTATGCAGTTTCTCCATCTTTGGCTGCAGAGCACATAGTCAATCTGATTTCTGTGTTGACCGTCTGGTGATGTCCATGTGTAGAGTCATTTCTTGGGTTGTTGGAAAAGTGTTTGCTATGACCATCGTATTCTCTTGACAAAATTCTGCTAGCCTGTGCCCTGCTTCATTTTGTACTCCAAGGCCAAACTTGCCTGTTATTCCAGTTACCTTTTGGCTTCTTACTTTAGCATTCCAATCCCCCATGATGATAAGGACATCATTTTTTGGTGTTAGTTCTAGAAGGTGTTGTAGTCCTTCATAGAACCGGTCAACTTCAGCCTCTTCTGCACCAGTGGTTGGGGCATAGACTTGGACTACTGTGATGCTGAATGGTTTGCCTTGGATTCGAACTGAGATCATTCTGTCATTTTGGAGATTGTATCCCAGTACTGCTTTTCCTATTCTTTTATCGACGATGAAGGCTACTCCATTTCTTCTGAAGGATTCTTGCCCACAGTAGTACACCTGATGGTCATCTGAATTAAATTCACCCATTCCTGTCCATTTTAGTTTGCTGATTCATAAGATGTTGATGTTTGTGCTACAATAAAAAATATTCTGCACCTTTGTAGCATCTTGTGTACATCAAGTTGCATCAATGCTACCAATTCCATTTCAGTTCCAGGTTGTAAAACAACAAAAAGTGGAAAAGTCAAAGGGGATGGATACTTTTGCAAGGCACTGTACAGCAGTTTGCAAGGAGAGGAGCTAGAGGTATCACCAGGATACTCATAGGAGGGCATTTCCTGTCCCCACCACCCACCCTGCTGGATCCAAAGCTGGCCTTTGACTTCACACTCACAGGCAGTACAATGAGAACTGCACCATCTGTAGGGGCAGGGTGCTCCGAAACTAGAGTTTCAGCTCCATCTGCATGCTGTTTTGAGCTTACTGCTGGAACTCCAACCTTTTCTATGGCCATCTAGACATTGTCTAATGGTCACAGTGTTGCATCCTGAATAGATTTAAATGTGTTAGTTTTAACAGATTCAGGGAAATTTGAATAGACTATTCAGGCTCATTTAACAAAGCAAGATCTGCCCCCCCAATTGTGCTTACGCTAGCATTTTATCCTACTTTTTGTTTTCCCTGTATTTTCAACTTCCATAATGAGTTTCAGGGAGGATTACAAGAATGAGGTCTAACTTGGTAATATTATAATGGAACAATTCAGCCCCATAGGTTTCCAGAAATATCTAAAAGAATTTAGAAAGTTTTTCTCTCAAAAGAAGTATACAGAGCACAATCTTTCACAGAAGGACCTAAAATTTGACTGGGGAGAAAAGGTTTCAACTGTTCCACTGTGAGGAACAGCCTTTCCATTGATAGCATGGAAAAAGACCGGAAATAGGGCTATTACATCTCAGCTGAAACCAGCAATTTTTCTTCTCTTTGTACTGTTTCTATTACAGCAAGCTGTGATAAGATCAACAACATCCAGCTCCAGTACCCCTAGTTCTGTAAGATCTAAACAATATTAATAATTGCTGTCTGAGTTTTGTTTTCCTCTTTCCTCCCCATCCTTTTTATTTGGAGTTGCATCTTTTTTAGATTTTAAAGCACAAGCATCTTAAACTAGACTAACCAGCCACTGTTTATTGAAGTTTTAAATAACAGATTACTGCTATGAGAATTTACATAGTACTGTCTAATGTTTCAATTATAGAAGACAGTTGCAATATGGACAAAAAAGAACAAAATGAACATTTTCACTTTGGCTTAAAGCAAGGATTTTGATATTTGCAGAGTTAGAGATTAGATCAGTGTTTTGCAAACCTTTTTTCAACAACAAAAACACAACTATACATATTTGCAAACAAGAAAATGTTCCAACAAAGTTATGGACTTCTTTAAACTAACGCTTTGTTCATACAACTCTTGAAGACCTGTGTCTTTCAGCAGCTCTTCATTGAAAAGTGTGTTTTATTTTCAGGCCTGCTAAAATCTCTTTTCAGTCGTGTTTGCCAGTGTTACTCACAACATTGCAGATTATAAGGTTGTGTCATGAAATCCCCAAATGGCTACAGGGTCACTATGCAAAGGAAATTGAAAACATGAGAATAGTTTGCAAATATCCAGTCAATGGGAAACAGATTTGAAGAGTTGAATTAAACATTTTGCTTTTTAAAGGTATTTGTGCTATTGTCTGTATCAATCGCTAGAGTCTGGGGTGAAGAAACAATTGTTCTTAGTTCCTGAGAAGTTACGTATATGGAAATACTAATTCCAAGAACTAATACAAACCCAGACTCAGCTCAGTGAGGGGGAAAAACCCTGAAATCTAAAGTCATTCAACTGTCTTGCAGAACACAAATCTGTCAGCATATTATGTCTAAATTAAGAAGAGACAGAACGGTAGAACCAGACCCTTGGTCACATAGTATATACCAGAGATTATCCATGGGGTCAGGTTGCAGAGAGAACACAAAGTTTGTTTTCATCTATGGTCAAGCCCACTTGCAATAAGAGAAGGGGATCCATGAGAGCTCATCTACATTTAACAGGCATTTCACTGGTATTTTTATTTTGCCAATGGCCAGGGTAAGAAAGGTAAATGTATGCCTAGCTGAAAAACATAACCAATTTTCTGCACTCCCTTTCTTGCTGGGAGGGGGGAAGAGAAGGTTCATTATTTGCCTTGTCTCTAGCATGTGTGTGCTAGAGCCTACGTATCTTCAAGGGGAATGTGCTCATCTAAATGCTGTTTTGAGAAACACAGATGCTGTTTGCATTTACAAAGTTCTGAGAACTGTGTAAAGTCTGAAGAGTTCTGAAACCTGATTCAACTTTTACCTCATTTAAGAGCAAGCACTGCTTTCACTGGTAGGAGTCTTAGAGGACCAAGCTATATAGAAGCATGCTTAGTAGTGGCCATTTGCTTTTTTCAGTAACAGTAGTTTCATGGAAGACATAGCACATGGGAAGTTTTAACTCTTTCCTCCCTGTGCTACTTCATATTGAAATTACTCACTCCACTGAGCTTTTATTACCCCTAAAGTACTGTTTATTATAAAAAGTACTTTTCAGTAAGGATGTATGGGAATTTTTCAGATCATTGACTACGAAATTTGCTCTGTTTGGACCACCAACCGAATGTGTGTTTTGCTGACAAAGCTTGCTTGTTCTGGAGCTTGTGATCTCAAAATGATTTGTTAGAAAAATGTGTTAGAAAAGACACATTTTCACACATTCATCAATAAGGTCCTTCTTAGCAGGACCTTACTGGAGGGGAGGAAGATGCTGATTAGAAGAAGTGCCTTCTCAGTAGGACCTCTGGAATAGGGTCCCCTAGCATTTTGGCAACAGGCAGAGCCTCACCTTTTCTCCGGATATTAAATAAACCTTTTTATTTGTCCACCATTTTAAGTGCTAGGAATTTTAATCTGGTTTTAACTACTTTACAGTTGCATTTTGATTTTGCTCCTGTTTTTGATTTTGATTCTGTTTTGATTTTGTCTTCATTTGTGATATATTATTGTTGGTTTTATGTATATTTTTAATTATTGTTAATTGTTGGATTGTTTGTTTTGATTTCTGTAAGCCGTCCTGAGACGCTTTTGCATATAGGATGGGGCATACATATTTTAAATAAATAAATAAATAATTTTAACAATGGATTTTAACAGCTAGTTTTAAAATTGGTTTGATTTGTTTTTTGTTCAAAATATTCTATTTAATGTTTTATATTATATTTTGATTTGAGCAATTATCTTTATATTTGGATACACTATTAATACACTTTGAATATGTTGTGAATGAATGAATGAATGAATGAATGAGGGCAAATATGTATTTGAAAGCACACTTTAAAAAAATGTTACCCCAAGTATGCAGTTTTCTTATATTTATATTGTGATTTATATCCTGCCTTTTCCCTACAAAGGGCTCAAGGCAGCTTACATCATTCTCCTCCTCCATCTTATCCCCACAACAACAGCCCTGTGAGGTAGGCTGGGCTGAGAGTCTGTGACTGGCCCAAAGTCACCCAGCTGGCTCCATGGCCAAGTGGGGACTCGAACCCGGATCGTCTGAGTCCCAGTCCCGTGCTCTGAACCACTGCGCCACACTGGCTCTCTTATTCAAGCAGCAAAACTCAGTAATGGATCAGCTTGCATTTTGAGGCAGAGCTCAGAGAACTTCAGTGAGCTCAAGCCTTCCTGATTCTCTTGCTCCTACTTTTGGGGAGGCACTTGGTGGTAGGAAGAATTGAAAGAGTCCCTCTCACAGCCCCAGCTTAGATCATGGCCCTGTAGGACTGTTTATTTCTGGAAAAAAGCAACCAATACAATGCACGCTACTAACAATGTATGGTTTGCATCGTGTATGTATTCTGTGTTGACATCATGAGTAAAAGTTCCATAAGATCAGTAGAACACAAAGCTAATTTTGTGCACAACTATAGGCTTGCTTATTTTCATAGCAGTTGAATTTGAAGGGATTTGCTAGTTAAGTAAAAGTGCTTAACATGGGGGTGTAAAACTAAAATGCAGATCTAGAAATTTTAAAGAATATATATTGTTAATAGGAAGATGTGACAGATTAAAGCACATGCATTGTTTCAGTTTCAAAGTATTTTAATTGTTCACCTCACCTGCTTGCTTCTCTATTCTATTTTTCCCCTCAGATTTCAATGCAAATTTCTTCTTCAGAAGTGATGATGTCATTTCTACAATAGTACTAAGGGGTAGTCCACTAAACAAACCCTTATTTTCTTTGGTTTCTACCAAAGCATCCAGAATATTGTCTCTAAAAAAGAATAGAAACAGAAACGAGTCATCCCCCCGCCAAAGAATCTCAGTAAATACGTTATGAATTCTACCTACCTACTAATCTCTGGATGTAACTCTTCCAAATTCTTCACTACTTTCCGGAAACTTCTCAAATTTAATGCATTTGGAGGTATAAAGGTAGCAGATGGATTTGGAATAAACTGTACTGAGCCCAATGGCAACAGCCCCTCCGAAACAATCTAGGTAGACAATATTTCAGATGTTTAACAAAGAATTCAAACTGTGCTAGTATTTAAGCCTGTGGAACCCAACTATTTTTTTTCCCTACGGAAAGCTGAAATAAAAGTATATACCATAATATGATGTTAAGCAAACAATGTACACATATTTGTATTGCATGAACAATGCTTCACAAGGCATAGGGGCCTCTGCTTACAAACAACACATGCAAAACAGAACCGCTGGAAGAAAAATGTTTAAAGGATGTGTTGTATTTATGTTCCTTAATTTTCCCAAATTCTGTCCTTCCTTACTAGAAAAGAAACTATTTTAACTGTTACACTGGCACCATTTACTGTAACTAGAGTCAACTAAAGTTCATTTAATCCTGGACACTGAAATCAACTGAAAGCAACAGAAATCCTGCTTATTTCCAACTGTGGTTACTTAAACATTGGCTGGATACAGCAGGGGGCCATAGTTCTGCAGAAATGCTCCACCTGATCACTTAAGCATCAGTTCAGCAATCAGGAGTATTATATGTCAACACTGAACATTTCAAGAGAAGAATGTGCCACTCAGTACTTTAAAAGATGTTTCAACATACAATCCAAGAAAAAAGAAAAAGGTTACCTCCTGTTCTATTTCAAAGCATATATTTCTTGATGAAGATCTGGAATCATGACTGACTACTTCAGAAGGGGCTGAAGCACATTGGGATCTGGGACCATTAAGCAATGACGACTTTAAGGATATTGTGGAGACATCCGACCCTTTGGAAAAGATAGGACTACCAGCAGGAATCTTTGAAGCAGCTGAGACAGAAGCAGGCACTTCCAAAGTTAAATCACAATTCTTTCTATATTCAATATTATTTTGTCTTTGGGTTTCATGTTCTTGTTTTACCAAACTGTGATGATCAAGGTCTCCATTTTCTCTTACAGTCTTTACAAGTCTAACTTTCACTGCTTTTCCTTTTATTTCTTTCTCATTCATTTCTTTCACTGCAATTTTTGCATCAGAAGCTGCTTTAAAAGTAAGGGATGCATATCTAAAATGTATAAAATGTGCTAAATTAAGAAAAAATATTAACACAGACATCTCATTAGTTATTTAAGTATAGAGGTGGACATGTACAATATGATCCGTTCAATGCAGAGCCACTAATCCCTGTCATAATCTTAGAGGCATGATCTTTATGCAAGATGCACAGCCACTACCAGCAGAGGCAATTCTATTCAAACTTTCCAATAGGTCTAGCTATCTTCTCCATATAACACACACAAATAAATTTGGATTCTGAGAGAAGATGGTGCATATGGTCTTGTCAAATAATTAAACTAGGTTCACATGTAGCTGAATTAACATACACAAAACCCACACAGGCATAGAAAAGCATGTTCTCCTATGTGGGTTTTTTATATGTTAATCCAGCCCCATGCAAAAGTATGGCCTGTTGTTGTGTGCATAGAACAGATCAGAAAGACAGCAGAAAAGAGGGAGATGGAAAAGGGGCTTGACTGAGCCCTATCCTTATGGATTGTTCCCTAGGATTCTATGACTCTCAAAGTGGAAGTTTTTCTTTAAAAGAAAGGCAGGATGCTTACCTGTAACTGTCATTCTTCAAGTGGTCATCTGTACATTCACACATACGGGTGCTACACCTGTGCAGTGCCTGTATTCGGGAAGATTCTCTCAGCTATTAACAGTTTTCAGCGTGAACTCCATTCCCCCACCTCCTCATATAAATGGGCGGAGTTCCCGTCCTCTTACCAGTCCAGCTGAAGATTGCCCTCTTGCCCCCAGCTGGTACCAGCATGTAACTACAACATCAGAAAAAAACTACATTATATTGTATGAACCCAGTCACCAGCACTAATGTGGAGCCGGTGGGTGGGTTCTGTGAATGCAGATGACCACTCAAAGAACGACAGTTACAGGAAAGCAACCTGCCTTTCTTTATTGTGGTCTCTGTGCATCACACATATGGGTGACTAGTAAGCTTAACCACCTGGAGGCGGGACAGTGTTATTGAAGTACAGTGGAATGGACTGCACAACCAAAGGAGCAGTCCAGTCTAGCCTTCATATTGAGATGATAGTGCTTAATAAAGGTGCATGGAGTGGACCATGTGGCAGCTTTGCATAAGTCCTGCACAGGTATGCCTGCACGTAAGGCAGATGAGGTAGCTACAGCTCTAGTGGAATGCCCTTTTGGAGCAATTGGCAAGTCCAGTTTAGCAACTTGGTAGGAGAGTTGTATAGTTCTGACGATCCATGTTGACAGGTGTTGAGGTCCTATTGGTGTTCCTTTATCATGTTCAGAGTATTTGATGAACAGGCACTTGGTTTTTTGGAACGGTTCAGTTCAGGACCGGTAAAAAGCGAGTGACCTGCATGCATCGAGGCTGTGAAGTGACCGTTCAATCGGTGTTGAAGGCACCGGAAAGTATGCTGGTAGGATGATATCTTGGTTAAGATGGAATGCTGTTGCCACCTTTGGGAGGAAAGTTGGATCCATGCAGAGGACCATCTTTTCCTTATGGAAATTGAGGTATGGGGGATCGACCTGAAGGGCTAGTGGATATCACTAGCCCTCCTTGCAGAAGTTATGGCCACCAGAAATGCTGTCTTCCATGAAAGTAACTGTAAATCAGCAGAGGCTAAAGGCTCGAATGGCAGTTTTGTTAAGGCCTAAAGGACAACCGACAGGCTCCACATTGGGACAATCAATTGGATCGCAAGGTGTAGGTTTTGTAGTCCTCATAGGAACCAGCATGTTAATTGGTGTGAGAACACAGATGAACCCTCTATATGTCCTCTAAGGTGTGAAACAGCTGCAAGATATACCTTAATGGAAGAGGGTTTCAGACCCCCCTGGTGTAATGAGAGAAGAAATTGTAAAATGTTCTTGATAGTTGCAGATTCAGTTGAAAAGTTGTTACTGGTTGCAAAGCATGTAAATCATTTCCAATTTGAACCATACGCTCAATGAGTATTTGGTCATAATGTGAACTGCAAGATGTACTGAATGTCTGGATGCAGGCTTGCTGGTACCGAGCTTATCAATGGTACCGAGATCGGCATCAGTGCCAAGGCTAATGTATTAGTCACGCCATCAGTTTCAGTGTGTGCAGGTCTGGATGCTGAATGCTGCCCTGGTGCTGAGTGAGCAAGTCTGGAATCTCCAGCAGATGGATGTATGTCCCTTGGGACAGACGGAGCAGAGTCAGGAACCAGGCTTGGCACAGCCACCATGGAGTAATCAGAATGCAGGTGGTATTGTCCTATCTGATCTTTGCTAACATCTTCATTATTAACGTTATCAGAGGGAAGGCATAAAACAGTGTAGTTCCACAGAATCAGAAATGTGTTGCCTGCAGAGTTTGGTCCCATGCCTGCTCTGGAGCAGTAAGTGTTGCATACTCTGTTTTGGTGGGTTGTGAAGAGGTCTATCAAGGGTGTTCCCCACTGTTTGAAGAGACGATGTCAGATTTCTCGATCGAGTTCCCACTCGTGTGTCATGGACATGTAGGAGCTCAAGGAATCATCTTTGTTCTCAATGCTGGCCAGAAGGACTGCTTGTATGTCCATCCCATGGTTGATACACCAGTTCTAGAGATGAAGAGCGAGATGTGTGGGCAGAACCAATCATGTCCCTCCCTGTTTGTACACATAGAACACAGTGGAGATGTTGTCTGAATGGTCTTGTTCCTCAAGATGGTTTTGAAGGACAGGAGAGCTCTGAAGACTGCCAGTAATTCCAGGTAGTTGATGTGTCTTGTTATCTTACGACCATGTTCTCTTACGGATACCTTCAGTCCGGAAAGATGCACAGTGGGCCCCGTATCCAGTTCGAGATGCGTCCATGTAGAGCATTGCAGACAGGTTTGGTGACCAGAATGGCATACCTTGGGTCAGATTGGTTTCAGCTAGCCATCAGGATAGCATTTGTAGCACTGAATGTGAAGGTCTAATCAGTTGGTATGGTGGATTGCGTTCAGGATGGAAGATGCGATTGAACCACAACTGCAGTGGTCTCATTAGCAACCTTGAATTAGAGACCACAGACACCATAGAAGCCATATGTCCTAGAACTTGCTGTATGGAGTGAGCAGAGATGGTCCATTTGGTGAGCAATTTCAAGATTGAATCTGTCAGTCTTTGCCTTTATTCTAACGGCAAGTATGCTCACGCCTGAGTGGAGTCCAGATGCACCCCAATGTAAGTGATTGCCTGAGAGGGAACAAAGGATAACTTCTCATTATGCACAGTCCCAGTTGGTGAAGTAAGGTGCATGGGATTTCTACTGAGGTCAGGAGGTCCCTCCTAGAGGATGAGACGAGCAGCCAATTGTCTAGGTATGGGGAGACCCACACATCCTGAAGTCTCGAATGGACACATACCAGGACCATCCATTTTGTGAACACTCTAGGTGCTGTAGCAAGACTGAAGGGGATTATGTTGAATTCGTACACTTCTGTACCGACCATAAATCTTAGAAATTGCCTATGTGCCTGATGAATGCCTATATGCAAACAGTTGTCGTGCGGCCGGAGCACTCTTCCTAATTACTCACACAGGAACAGGCAATAAAGGTTTAAAGTTTTTTATTCTAAACAACTTCAAAGATACGCAGGCAATGAATAATACAGGAGCTATTAATGGCAGTTCTAAGCAACACAGTTGCCCCCTCTTTTCTGACCTATCTCAGATTGATGATGCACTCTTCACCCGACGGGGACGCCCCTCCCCACGAGGGCTAAACTCCTCCCCCTGCTTTTTTGACTCCCCCTCGCTTCTAATTGGCTCAAACGCTGAAGTCTTCTCCTCTGCTGGGCATTCTCCATGGCAACGGGCTGTCCCACTGGCTGCTCAGCAATGTTATCTCTCTGAGGAATGTCGCCTCGTTCTGGCTGAAGAAAAACTTCATCAAAGTCAGGTGGTGTGTGTGGGGGGGGTGCGTTTGTGCAATGGGCACCAAGTAGAAATCTTCTTGCTCTAAGACCTGACTCTTGCTGAGAGCTTCTTGTTCTCTCACAGGTGCTAACGACTCCTCTGAGTCTTTCAGGTCCAAATATGCAGACCAATCCTCTTTTTGTAGCACCAGAAAAATAATTCTGAAGTGTGGTCATCCTAAATTTTCTGTAGCAGGACTACTGAAGCTAGTGTATACCAAACTGCTCAGAGAGGAGGCACAGTTTCAAACTTAATTTTATATCCGTGCTCTATAATGGATAGAGCTCACCAATCAGATGTGATAGACTCCCATATGAGGAGATAGTGTTGCAGTCGATCCCCAAATGGGAGAGGTGAGTTTAAGAAAGGAATGATTCACGCCACCCATCAGCACTGGCATTGTTTGTACTGACGTGCTTCCTAGTTTGTTGGTACCGAGGCACATCAGTTTGGCAAGGATAGTTTGGTCTGTGCAGGAAGGGTTTACGCCCCATGGAGTACCCCTGTTTTATAGGTTGGAAGGAGCAATACTGAAATTGTCTATTCCATGGCCACTTATGACTAGGGTGTTGGGAGGGTTCCCATCCCATTGAGGAAAGCCTTGTGGATGGAATCGAGTTTCTTGTCCATTTTAGTGTGAAAAAACCCAGTCCCATCAAATGCATGTCATCTGAGAGCCACTGCACCAACAAGCGCCCTGGAATTGCAGTCCACATGATGTCTTGCTGTTGCCAAGTGTTGCTTGGAGAGCTGCATTGCCTTGCTGATGAAGTCTGGTCAGGGAGGAATGCAGCACGCAATTCCATCTTCTGCCATAGGTAATACTGATAGTGGGCCATAGTGCCCTCGTAATTGGAGATCCTAAGTCCAACTCCCATGGCTAAGTAGATCCAGTGAGACATCATACTGACCTTACGTCCTTCACAATTGGTCAGTGCAGTGTGCTCTCTGGTTTGTTGGCCCTGAGTGGATTCAATGACTGCCGAATTGGGATGGGGAGGCTGCATCAGGAATGGAATGTCCTGTTCCCTGACCTTATACATCAATTCAAGGTGCCAGGAGGTGGGATGTGAGTGATTAAGTAGCTCCCATGGCACCATCATGACCTGACGTAAGATGGATATCTGAGGTAGAGCAACCGGAACCGCTTCCTCCATTTTGATGACATCGTAGATGTTGTCTTGCTCTGAATCTGTGTGTTGTTGGATGTCAATCCCTAAAGAAGTCGACATACGGACCACCAGTTTGGAGAAACTTCCCATAATCTCTTCGGCCAATCCCAGGCCTTGAGTCGAAACCATAAGGTCAGGTGATGTGGATGCCTGCTCTGTGTCTTCTGATTCAGACTCAGAGAGATAAGCAGCACTTGATGAGGTTGATCGAGCTGGAGATTCCTCCAGATGAGCTGTAGCAGTCACTGTGGCAGTCGTTTCTTCCCAAAACATGGATGGCAGGTCTGTGGGTTGCAGAGGTCTGTGACACATTGGTGGTGCGGGATAAGGGTATCCATAGGGTCGGAGATCCCATGGATATCTGTGTCCATAGCCTCTGTATGGAGGAGGCATCCAGTATTGGCTCCTTCTCTACCAAGGGAGCTGGTTGAATGGAGCCCAGTGAGGTCTCTAGTGACAGCTGTCTGTACAAGGCTGGAGTAGGACGGTGTACTGGCTCCTGGTGCTCTTGAATGGGTTGCACTGAGTGGTCAGATGGTGCCACAGAGTACACGGGGGACTCTCAAATCTCTCCCTCCAAGATCGAAGTCTGGACCGTCGGTTCTGGTGCCTGAGACTCAACCAGGCTGAAGCATGGAGAAGGTCTTGGAGATGGGCTCAGCATGCGCCAAGGAGATGGTTGGGGTGTTGACCATATGGAGGGAGGACGAATCGGAAGCTCACTCGATACTGAGGTACCCTGTTCCATTTCCTATGGGTATGGAATGTCTTTCCATGATGAATGAGAATGCTGCTGCTTCTTCTTTTCCAGCTTGTCTTTTTTGAGATGCTTGTCTTTAGTGGTCCCTTCGGTCTCAAGGTACTTCCTTTTCTCCTTACATTTTTTTAGGAGACTGAGACTGTGCAGAGCACTCTTTTCAGATATAGCGCTCTCACCTTGATCGGCATGTGGAGGGATGCTTCCTTCAGAGGTGGAAGGGCTGGCAGGTTGAGCCGTGGTAGCCTCTTTCATTGCCAGTAAAGCCCTATCCCATAGGACTTTCTTGAGGTGATTTTCCCAGTTCTTGCAAGCCTGTTTGGTGAAGGCTTGGCAATGAACACACTTGTCCATGCAATGTCCTTCACCGAGACAGATCAAGCAGAGGGAGTGTGTATGTCCGTAGACAGCATCTTTGCTCCACACTGGCCACACCTTCTAAAAGCAGAATGCTGTGCCATTGAGAAGAAAAAGAGATGGGAAATAAAGGTAAAGAGAGACAATAGAAGGGTTTTATTTTGGAAGGGTGTTGAGGGGAAGGGGAAAAACAGAAGGGTGTGAGGAGGGTTTAAGGTTGTGATAAAGGTTAGGGTGATAAGGTTTTGTAAGAGATGTAGGATGAAAGGATAAAGATAAGTGTCAAGTACAAAGTGCAGAAGAAGTATGTGAGAGAAATTGAACACAATGAAAGAACCCAAGGCACAGCGAATGGCGGTCAAAGGTGGACTGGCAAGAGGGTGGGGATTCTTTCCATTTATATGAGGGGGTGGGGGAATGGAGTACCTGCTGAAAACTGTTACTAGCTGAGAGAATCTTCCCAAATACAAGCACTGAGCAAGTGCATCATCCACATGTGTGATGCAAAGAGACCACGATGAAGAACTGTTGTTATGCATTCATATACAATACCAATGGAATAATGTCATATACATACCTGTAACTGTCAGAGTACTCACGGATCAAAATTTGAGAAACATTATATTTCTCAAAATGAAGCCACAGGTCACTCTGAAATAAACAAGGAAATTTTGATTGTAGCACACTGCAGAAACAAGAAATGAAACACTTTGTATTTAAATAGATATTGACTCACTTCTGATACTAAAGGACTTAAACCACCAACATGTACACAATAGATCTTCTTTGACTCCTTTTTCCTATCTTTTGTAGTTTGTGTTTCTGAAAGATTAGACAAAAGTAAACATATTTAACAGAATGTATTTATTGCTGAAATGAAATGATTAGAAATGTAGTAAAGCCTTAATAATGATGACAGACTAAGTTTGGTGCCATTAAGGGAAATAATTTTTATGGAATGACTGCTTTTTGTAAAATATTAGTATTAGCTTCACAGCAATTCAAGGCCTTAATACAGAAGCTTAGATGAATGGTGTTTTTCTAGTCCTAGTTTTGCAGTTCATGTTTAAGTAATAAGGCTATAAAAAGTTAGGTCAAGATCTCCTAGAAATAGTAATTAGTAGAAACATAGAAACAGAGTGAGTCAGAAGGGGCCTCCCAGGCCATCTAGTCTGACCACTCATGCCAGCCAGTTCCAGTTGTGTCCGCTCATGACATGCCTACCATGTACATATTGGAACAGTAAACCTAGTTCTCACAAAAAGCCAATTCTTTCTTTTTAGAACCATGAATCTATGTGCTGCATTGGTGCATGATTGAATAAAAGAACCAGCTTTTGGGATTTCCATATCTCTTCACAGTGCAAGATGTTAGAAAAAGCCTGCACAAGTCTACAAAATTCTGGGAGAGGGAGAAAAATTGCTCAAAAATTGTTGAGGACATTGAACTGATGAAATATGCCTCTCTTTCTTCACTAATTTCTTCTTTGCTTTTTTATGATCTTGCCTGAAGAACAAGTGAAATCTGGAAACTTCAAACGCTAGGACATATTGTGACCTTTGAGAATTTGCATTTTTCCTTAATTATCACCAACGCTGCTACCTTAACCTTCTCTGTGACTCAGGGATAAGCCAGCATCCCAAGGCTGTACCTTCTTTTGCTTCATGTTAGAGATGACCAGTCAAACAAGATGTCTATGCTTTTGAGTAAAAGGTGGTTCTCACTGGGCTTTTCCAGTGTAATCCAATGCATCCTCAATAATCACCAAACCCCTAATCTATAATTTTCTGCATCATCATGCTATACTCATATCTTGTCATACCTCATGCCTTTATAAAAGATTTTGCCTTGCCTATGGTATGTCCTTATATAGAAAGAATTACCCATCTTCTATGTTCTACGCAATGCCTGAGGATAGAATATAGCAGGAAAAAATGGGGTGACAGTTCTTTTTCCTGTTATTCTTAAGGTCTTATGAGGGTGCCACATGTTTCCAATATCACTCACCCAAATTCCAGAATTTTAAAGTACTTTGTAGGTAAGACATTTTCAGATGATAGCAGTTTTTAGTTTCTATGCTACATTGCTCCCACACCAGCCTATTAAGTTCCAGATTTTAAGAATTTTCTTTTACTTTAAGTTGTTTCACTTCTGAATATCATGGTAGTTGTCATTAATTGTGGTAGCACATACTAGTCCGTTGTGCAGACTGCTTTTTCAGCAGCCCAAAGGCCTTTGGCCAAACATGCATGCAAGGAAATACTATGCTTTGAAACAAATTGGTATTCAACTATTGTTATGATGCTTTGCTGTGTTTCAGCAAATGATTATGTTCTATGTCAGAAAGTGGCATATAAATTCAAGCACTCGTAAGAGAAAATATATAATAAAAATGTTCCAATGAAAGAACAAAAAAATGAAGAAGATAAAAGATAAAAACTGTGTAATTGAAAAAGTAATGAAGAATGGTTACAGCACGCTTGGGGTGAATTCAGAACTTTCCTCTAGAATTGCACAGGAGAATGCTCACTTCATGTCATGGTTATACCATGGTCATACAAAGGCCTTAACAACTTACCCATTAGACTTGCCTTCCCTTATATAGAACTATTAAGGTCACCAGAGGCAGCTGTACTGGCCATTCCAAGATTATCAAAATATGACCATGTGATGCCTCGACAATAGCCTTCTTGGTTGACAGCATGCAACCTGTTTAAAAAGCTCCCTTGTGACATTCAGGAGGCAGAACATTTGATATCATTCAAACACATTCTGATCTGTTCACTCAAGCTAGTTCTAACTGTAATTAAACCATGCTGTTTTATTTTCCTGTTCTACTGCTATACTGTCTTGTTTTTAAAATATTTTAATTTTGATTTAATTAATAGTATTTGGAGGCTGCTTATGGATTTTAAAAATATTTAGCTACATATAAATAGATCAAATACATAATGAGGGAATGAGCACGAGGTCCTTAGCTAGCTTTCCAGAATATTTCAAAACCAGAACTGTACAGGATCAGTTCTAATGTATGGGACTTCACAGAGATCATGAAGATGATTTTAAATATGCTACCTGGAACAAAGACAATCAATTATTTGACACTACATTTATTATACATGCAATAAATAAATAAATAAATTCAATTCAAAACTCACCAGCAGTACCAATTAACAATGACTGCAATTTATGTGACAACGAAGAATCAGTCACTGTGAGGTTCTCTGTAGCATCAAACCAGTCTTCACGGCTTTCCTGAGTATCTGAAGAACCTTAATTTATCATAAATATTAAATAAAAGAAATAAAACTGATAACACAGCACAGACAGGTAACATTTACAGAGAGGCGGAAATTCCTAGCCTGTGCTTCTATTATTAGACCTATCCCTAATATTTTCTGTGTTAACATATAATACTGGGTTTCATAAAAATACATGAGTAGCTATATCAGATGAGACAGGATTAATAACAATAAATTATGTTAAAGATATTGATTAAAAACCATGTCATAGGTCTAAGGTAAAGGTAAACACAGAAACAGAGTGAGTCAGAAGGGGTCTTCCGGGCTATCTAGTCTGACCCCCAGCTCCAGCCGGCTCCGCTCACGACATGCCCATCATGTGCATGTCTAGCCTATCCTTGAACACCCTCACCAATGGGGCCTCAACCACCTTCTGTGGAAGCCCATTCCACACCCTCGGGGTCCTAACTGTCAGAAAGTACTTCCTAGCATCCCAATTGAACATTGGTTCCCTGAGATTTTCTCCATTGGAATGTGTCCTGCCCTCCTCTGCAGGGGAGAACAGGTCTCTACCCACCTCCGTGTGACACCCCCTCACATACCTGTATGTTGCCAAAAGATCTCCTCTATGTTTCTGTGTATCTATCTGACCTGTAAGATCAGGTGAGGAGGCCCTTCTGAGAAAGCCATCCTCCAAGGAGGTAAGAAGGATGTCTAACAGAACAGCCTTCCCAGTGGTTGTGCCCCATGTATGGAATGGTCTTCTGAGAGTAGTTCACCTGGTGCTATCATTACAATCTTTTCAGTGCCAGGCAAAACCAATCCTATTCTCCAAATATTTTAATAATTGATTTTATACTCCTTAATTTAAAGGCATGTTGTTTTATATTGTTTTCAGTTTTAATATATTTTAATCTGTTTATATCTGATTCCTCAGATTGCATTTCTATTGCATACTGTTACCATTTATTGTTTTCATTATTTTTATTTATTTTTGAATTTGTATGCCACCCACTAATTCAGATGGATTCTCTAGTTCAGTAAAATGCTAAAAACCACAATAAAACCAATTAAAATAACAATTTAAAGAATATATATGTATACATACATGATACCAGTAAGCAATAACAAATTTAAGATCGTCCTTGAAAATATTCAGAGAAAAGAAATGTGTTCTCCTGGTGCTGAAATGAAAACAAGGTTGGTGCCAGGTGAATTTCTTTGGGGAGCCTGTTCCAGAGTTGAGGGGGAGCCACAGAGGAGGCTCTTCTTCTATTTACTGTCCCCTTTATTTAGTTAAGGAAACTGTGTTCTGAGTTTCCTCAGTTTACATAGATCATGCTTAAACAGAATGTCTCTCATTATTGGGACACAGCATCTCCCTTACCTTGTTTGATGGAGGTTCCAGATTCCAACATCTATGTAGCCTCCCCACTGAAAGCATTTGAATAAGAAAAGCAAGGATATTCAGGTATGAAAGATCAGCTCTTGTTTTCATTACAAGTGCTGGAGAAAAGATCTAGGCAGGCCCTAAATTCTAGTCTAACTAAGAACAGTGCACTGAGCCAAGCATTTTACAAAGGTAAAAGAACAACCTGGAGTGAGAACTAGAGCATGTCAGCATTTAGAGACTAATTTAGGTTTTGCAGCTCTACAGAATACATTTTAAAATAATGGGATGAAAACATTGGATCCATACAGGAAGAATTGTTTTAATTATTAACCAAGAATGGAAAAACTAAAATATATTAAATTTCTTATCAGTCCGGATCAGGTACTTCTTCCCTTTAAAAATGTTTCTGCTAACATTTCAAAGATTGTGAATGAATAGAATTTCTCATCATATTTAATTCCATTTCTGCAGTTCAATTAACAGAGCCATCCAAAGCACTGTCTGGTCCAAGTTATTGGGGCCTGAGTATGTGGACAAGGTGCTTGGCCAGGTTTGGCCTACTACCTTGCCCATCCTGGCTAATTACTCCAAGCAAGGAAAGCAACATCTCTGGGTCCAGGAGGCTGTGAATGCCTCATTGAAAGAGGGAGTGGTCCCAGCCTCATTAAAGGAGGTTGTAACTCTTGAGAAAGGCTAACTTGGATTCAGAGGACATTAATAACTACAGGCTGGTGGCAAGTATACCATTTTGAGGCACGGTATTTGAGTGGGTGGTAGCTGAACAACTCCAGGCATTCTTGGATGAAATGGACCATCTTAATCCATTTCAATTGGGCTTCAGAACTGAGTTATGAATGAAGACTGCCTTGGGTGTCCTGTGAAATGTCCTTTGCCACGAGAAAGACAGGGGGAGTGTCCCTGTTGGTTCTCCTGGACCTCTCAGCAGCTTTCGATACCATCAACCATAGTAACCTTCTGGAGAGGCTAACTGGGTTGGGAATTGTAAGCACTGCTCTTACTTGACTGGCCAATTCCATAAAGTGGTGCTGGTGGATTACTGCTCTGCACCATAGCATTTATGCCACAGAGTTCCATAGGGCACCATTTTATTCCTCATGCCGTTTTAACATCTACATGAAACCACCAGGGGTTATCCGGAGGTGTGGGCTGAGATGTCACCAGTGTGCTGATGACTCTCAGCTCTACCTCTCTTTTTCCTCTAACACAGGTGAGGCAATGGCCATTCTGATTCATGGTCTAGCCTTGATAATGGATTGGATGAGGGCCAACAAACTCAAGCTTGAGATAAGATGGAGGTACTGTTGGTAAAGGGATACTCTGTCTGGATGGGTGACATTACACCTCTCCTGGATGGGGTCACACTCTCCCTAATGGCCAGGAGCACCTTTTATCAGCTTAGGCTGATCTACCAACTAAGAGCCTACTTGGACAGGCAAAACCTTGCAACAGTAATTCATACTCTGGTAACCTCTTCTTTGGATTATTGTAATGCCCTATATGCCTTTGAAAACTGTCTGGAAACTTCAGTTGGTCCAGAATAGGGTAGTGTGGCTACTGATGAGGACTGGCCAATATAAGCATATAGCACCAGTCTTCTACCAGCTTCAATGGTTACCAGTTGAAATCTGGCCCAATTCAAAGTGTCAACACTCATATTTAAAGCGCTGAATAGTTTAGGGCCTCTTCCCATATGTGCTTATCCAGGCCTTAAGATCGTTATCTGAGGTCCTTCTCAGAGAGCCCTCTCTGAAGGAAACTAAGAGGGTGGCTACAAAGAGAAGGGTTTTCTTGGTGGTGGCACCCCAACTCTGGAATCAGCTCCTCAGAGAGATTCACCTGATTCCTTCTATTCTTTTTGGCACCAGGCAAAGACTGTTTTATTTATCCAATATTTTAATTGTTAACGTAATTTTACAGTTTTTTACTTTTTACATCTTGTGCTACTGTGTCCTTTATTGGTTTAAGAACTGAGTTTACAGTGTAGTTTTATTGTGAGGCTTTTCTGTGGTTGATTGAGATTTTAATGTTGTAATATATTTGATACTTTATATTATATTTTAGCACATATGGTGTTATTATTCTATTTTGTAATCTGTCTGCAGAGTCATTTTGGCTAATGGGCAGGAGAGAAATCTAATAAGTAAGTAAATAAACTTTGGTAGCTGTAGTTTAGAAGCAAGCAGTTTTGGCATAACATTTCACTATAATAACAATAACTTTCATTTTAGCTTGATGTCACACTTACTGTTTTCCACAAGATCTTTTTTCTTCTCCTCAGAGTTCTTGTTTGAAGGCCACAGCTGAAAGTCAGAATTTTCACTCATTTGATGTGTAACCTAATAAAAAGTTATATCCATTTTTGTTTTCTTTTCAATTTTTGATCAATAGTCTACAGATCCATTTTCCCTCACACACAGATCATTTCTTTTAAAAACCCTTTTGTTTACAATGCACAAGAACTTGTGATTTTTAAAGGCTAATACTGATTATCACAATACTAACCATATTAGCACTAGTACAAGTATTTTACAATGTATAATCTGACTTCAAATACATGATCAAAAGTTCTTAAACAATTCTCAAGTTAATGTAAATGACTTACTAAAGGAAGTGAAGCTTTCATGTTCTGTGGCTGGGACACTTGTGACACAGATGTTCCTGTTGCAATAACAGAACTAAAAAATAAAGCATTATTATCTTAGTCAAGTGTGCATGATCCATTATGTAGCATTTGTTATTTGTTGTTCGATGCTGTGCATTGTTCTTATACTGCCGTCATGAGACCCTGGTGAAGGGCAGGATAGAAACACTTTTAATAAATAAATAAATAAATAAATCTTTAGATATGCAAGGTACTTTCTAGGAGTTGTCTTGAAAATCTTCACTAATTTTTATTGCAATATTTTATGCTGTATTTTACAAACTGATTTTGAAACAAATTTGGCCATTTTTAATTCCCTGGGTTATGAACAAGTTCCATTCTTGAGAAAATAGAAATTCATCTTTAAGTCCAATTTATATGTAAGTCAGATCATGTATAGTCAGCCCTCCTCATTTGCAGGGCTTAGGGGTACAGACAGGTAAAAACATCTGCAGCACTTACAGTTTGCTTCAAGATGCTAGCTACACTTACAAATGCAGACGTCCTCCATACCTCTTGCAGTTTGTGCCCATTCACAGATTAAAATCTCGTAAATTGTCCCTGCTTTAGGTTCCTTTCAGTAAAAACAGTGAAACTGAACAAGACATACAGTGATGATCCCTGTGGAACATTCAAGTTATGCCTTCAAAGTAGTTGAATATCTGAATTTAGGGAAAACCCAATGTACGTTTCTTTCTGACTCTGCCTGCCTAAGAAAATTGGTTGACTGCCACTCTTAGCAACACCTCTTCAAGTACTACTCTTTGTTCTCCAAGGAAGAAAGTGTGTGTTGTTGTTTACACTTAAAAATGCTTAGTCTAGTCCATTTTATTTTGCAGAAGCTGCAGCTGTGGCACCCCAATCTGGTATGTGTTCACAATCTAAATTTCCTGTTTAAAGTTAATAGTACTTTCAAGAGCAAATAAAGGAGCAGGGGTTATGATTTTTAGCAGGATCCTAATCCCCTCTTCCTCTGCTAATGAACTGGGTGACAATTCTGTATAAGCAAAATCTGCATGCCCACTGTTGTGATTCTCCAACCTGGTACCTACAGTGCCCAACATGCTTGATTGCTGGCTATGCTGGCTGGAACTGATGGGACTTAAGTCTAAATTATCCAAAGCACAGAGGTTGGGAAAGGCTGGCTGTATTTTCTTTTAAACCTTTGTGTTTTCATGTTCCCATCTCCATCTTTCAAGAAGTCTGACTTTTTTCTACTGCAAATTTGTACTGATTCTACTTTTTTGCACCGGAAATTTGTGTCTCAGGGATTAATTTCACATTCCAGCCCTGTTGTAAGCAAACAGCAATTTTGCTTGTGTAGAGACAAATATTAATTTGGGGAAGTATTTTACAGAGATCAGAAGCAATTCTACTTATTGGGTTGCACAACATGGCACCCCCCCCCCCCCAGAAATTTTACCCATCTACTTCAGGTAAAATTCCCCTGTATGTCCCAGATGATTAGGCACAGTGTTCCAACAGACACTGCAGGAGCACTGAAAAAGGCAGGTTGCTTACCTGTAACTGTCGTTCTTTGAGTAGTCATCTGTGTATTCACATATATGGGGTGCTGCGCCTGCACAATGCCTGCATTCGGGAAAATTCTCTCAGCTAGTAACATTTTTGATGGGAACTCCACACTCTCTCCCCCTCATAGAAATAGGCAGTGTCCCCACCTTATTGCCAGTCCAGCTGGAGACTGACTGTTCAAACCCAACTGGTATTGACACGTTCAAAAATAGTTTAGATCGTATGAATCCATCCACAGACACCGAAGTGGTACCGGTGGGTGGGTTCTGTGAATGCACAGATGACCACTCGAAGAATGAGTTACAGTTAAGCAACCTGCCTTTCTTTGTTGTGGTCCCTCTGCATCACACATAGGGTGACTAACAAGCTTACCGACCCAGAAGCAGAACGGTGTTGTCCTAGCAGGACAATTGAGAGAATGGCACTGTCAAAAGAGCAGTTTCTCCTAGCCTTTACATCAAAGTGGTAGTGTCTAATAAAGGTACATTTACCTTTATTAGAGTATATTTGACCAGACCATGTAGCAGCTTTGCAGAAGTCTTGTAGAGGTACACCAGCACAAAGGGCTGATGACATAGGAACAGCTCTGGTTGAGTGGCCTTTTGGAAGGATTAGCAAATCTAAGTTGGTTAGTAAGAAAGCTTGGTGGTTTCAACCATCCATTTGGATAAGCGTTGGGGCCCTATAGGTGTTTCTTATCGTGTTTGGAATATTTAAGAAATAGTCATTTGGTATTCCAGAATGGTTCAATTTTGGAGCAATAGAAAGCAAGTGCCCTGCAGACATTGAGAGTATGAAGTGACCTTTCAATTGGTGTCGATGATGCTGGGAAGTATGCTGGTAACATGATGTCTTGATTCAGATGGAATGCTGCTTCTACCTTTAGAAGAAAGGTTGGGTCCATGCAGAAGACCACCTTTTTCTTATGGAAATCCAGGTATGGAGGGTAGATTCAGAGGGCACACAATTTGCATGCTCTTCTAGCTGAACTTATAGCTACCAAGAAGGAAGTTTTCCATGAAAGTAATCTTTAGTCACTGGAAGCTAAGAGTTCGAATAGTGGGTTAGTGAGAGCCTGCAAGACTGACAAACTCATCAGTACAATTGATTGGATTGGAGGGTGCAGATTTTGGAGTCCTCATAAGAACCAACATGTTAACTGATGGGAGAATGTGGATGTTCCCTCTATATGTCCTCTACGGTACGATATGGCTGTGAGGTATATCTTGATGATGGTTTAAGCCCTGCCTCGTGTAACAAGAGGAGGAACTGTAGAATATTCTCAATGGTCGCTGATTCAGGTATGAAGTTGTTACTGGTCGTGAAACATGTGAAGTGTTTCCAATTCGAGCCATATGACCGTTGAATATTCAGCTGAAAGGCTGATTGTAAAATATATTGTATGTTGGGATATAGATTTGTTGGTACCAGATTCAATGTATTAGCCAGGCAGTCAACATCAGCATATGGAGATCCAGGTGTAGAATCTTGCCCTGTTGTTGAGTGAGGATATCTGGAATTTCTGGTAGGTGTATCTGCATCTCTCGTGACAGCTGTAGAATGGTTGGAAACCAAGCTGGGTGAGGCCACCATGGAGTGATCAGTATGCAGGTGGAGTTGTCCTGTCCGAACTTCGTTAATATCCTCATTATCAATGAGATCAGAGGAAATGCATAGAATAGAGCATTGTTCCAAGGGATCACGAACGAACAATAGACACCACAGATCCTTTTCAGATGGGTGATGAACAGATCTATTGAGGGTGTTCCCCACTTATCAAAGAGATGATGACAGATTTTCCAATTGAGTTTCCACTCATGAATCGTGGACGTTTAGCAGCTAAGGAATATGCTTCCTCGTTCTTGATACCAGCAGATAAACTGCTTGTATGATCATCCCATGGCTGATGCACTGGTGCCACAGATGAAATGTGAGGTGGACTAGTGGGACCAACTTCATTCCTCCTTGCTTGTTCATATAAAAAATGGTTCCATCAAATGGCATGTTTTCCACCTGTTTTCTTGTCTCCTGCAGGAGGTTACTGGCTCGTAGTCATGCATGACATCAGAGTCACTGCACTGACAAGCACTCTGGAATCAAAGTCTACATGATGTCTCTCCATTGCCAGTTGTTTTGATAATTGCATTGCCTCTCCAATGAAGATTCTGGTCAGGTCTCTTTGTTGGTCTGGAAGGAATGAGGCAAGCGACTCCATCTTCTGCCATGGGAAATATTGATACCAGGCCATTGTGGCCTCATAATTGGAAATTAGGAGTCCAAGTCTCATGACTGAGTATATTTGACCAGACATCATGTCGATTTTTCATCCTTCACGATCAGCCGGTGCAGTATGCTCTCAGTTTTGATGGCCTTGTATCAACTTGATGACCACCGGATTCAGGTGGGCGTGCCGCAAAAGAGACAGGATGTCCTGTTCCCTGACTTTATACATTGACTCCAGGTGCTGAGATGTTGGGTGCAGATGGTTGGATAATTCCCATGGTTCCACCGTTGCCTGGTGTAGTGAGGAGATAAAACGGTAGAGCCACTGGGACTGCATCATCCATCCTAATAATGTCATATATGTTGGCATCCAACAACAAACAGATCCAGAGCAAGAGAATTCACAAGGAACTTGACATGCGGGTGAGCAGTTTGGAGAAGTGCCCCATTCTCTCTCCAGGCAATCCTGCACCCTATGCCAATACCATAAGTTCAGGCGAGGTGGAAACCTACTCTGTAGTCTCCGAATTCGAGTCAGAAATGTAAGCCGCACTTGAGGAAGAAGAGCGTGCAGCTGATTTTTCCTCCACTGGGTGGGTTGCAGTAATCATTTCTTGCCAAGACATAGATGGTAAATCTGCAAGCTGTTATGGCCTGCAATGTGGAGGAGGTGGCAGATATGGGTATCTGTACAGTGGGAGGTATTCCCATGGATATCCATGTCCATAACCTGTGTATGAAGGAGGCATCCAGTACTGACTCCTCCCATACTTTGGAATCTCTGGCTTGAACACAGGGATGGGTCTACAAGTCAAACACAGGGAAGTCTCAGGCAATAGATGTCCATAAAGAGTTGGTGTAGGAGGATGTTGTATTTGATCTTGAGGATCATGTACCATTTGTACTGATCAGATAGTACCGAAGAATGCACTGAGGACTCCCTGAACTCTCCTTCCAAGACAGAGGTCAGCAACATTGGTTCTGGTCGATGGAGGTCAGTCAGACTGTAGTGAAAGCGTGGCAATGGTCTCTGTGATGGACTTGGTATGCAGTGCAGACAGTCTCTGCGTCGTCCATACTGATGGAGGATGGAATGGAGGCTCGTTTCGTACCATCACACCCTGTTCCGCTTTGATCTGGTGTGGAACATCTTTCTGTGCTGAATGAGAATGCTGTTTCTTCTTCTTCTCCTCCAGCTTCTCCTTTCAGGGACGTTTTTCCTTCCCAGTTTCTCCAGTCTCAAGGTGTTTCTTCTTCTCATTATGCTTTTTAGGAGATTGAGACCAACCCAAGTGCTCTTTTGTGGATTTAGAGCTTTTTCAGTAAAGAGAGAGATTTGTGAGGGAAATCAAAAGCAATGAGAGAAACTGAGGCTCAGCGAACAGCAGTTGAAAGTGGACTGGCAATAGGGTGGGAACTCTGCCTATTTATATGGGGGGGTGGAGTTCCTGCCAAAAATGTTATTAGTTGAGAAAATTTTCCCAAATGCAGGCACTGTGCAGGTGCAGCACCTCCATATGTGTGATGCACAGAGACCACGATGAAGAAAACATGTTAGCATGGTGAACCATTTTGCACTAGCTGCAGCTTGATGCCTTTTTAAAAAAGTCCATGCCACATTGGAACACTGTACTGCACTGCTAATTATTTTTCAATTTTAAAAAATGTGTGGGGGAGTGTTGAAAGTACTCTTTATAGTAGAGTCCTGAGGGGTGCTCATATGACCTGGTTGTCCCCACTTTCCTATTTCTGGATAACCCATGGGCACAGTCTTGATGAGACTTCAGAGCTAAAACATAGGACATCTTCTTGATTCTCCTTCCCTTCCCTGCAGAATACCCAGTTTCTGGGGAGAGCTGTGAAGCCCCAGTTGTCCCTTACCCTGAGTCAAGAGCCCCTCAGGAAGTGGCAAAACTGAACAGGACCCCTCATGATGGATGGGTACAAGGCTTGTCATTTGGTTGTTTCCCACGTTCTTAAGTGCTCCTCTGCTGCAAGGAGGAGGATATTGTCAACACTAGGGAGGGCATGAAGAAATTGGAGAATCGCACTGTGAAAAGGTGGAAAAATATCCCCAGAAATTGTGTTCTCCTAAAGATCTGGATGAAGTCTATCAAACTTTGAAAGTAACACTCTGTACAAATGTGTGTGCAGGTACTAGTGCAGCTGGGGTGGCTGTATGTAGAGTTTGGGTAGCAGACCTGTAGCCTGCCAGGTATCTATTGGTCTGTCCATGTTGCACTAGGCAAACCAGTCCAAGTTGTTGTTTTGTTGCACTAAAAAGCCTAGTGTCTCTACTGCAAATGGCATTTTTTTTCAGGATCATGCCCAGCACTTAACTGAGCAATTATTAGAGCATCACATTCGCAAAAAAATTCTCTTATCTTTCCAGGAAACACATATACACTTACACTTATTTTAAATAAGGAACCCTGCGGGCTTTACTTCCGGGTATGTTTCTTTCAAATACCTCTAAGATCATTGTAACAACAACTTCCTAAAATATTTTTATTCACTACACAAAATATTCATTATACTCTGTTTCCTTCTATTTAACTTTCAACTAAGTCCCCAAAATATTATGGTTACATTATCTTAACAACTATAGTATGTATATATAAGGATGAGAAAATATGATTGTATCAGTATAGTCTAAGGCTGCAATACTGTATGTACTTACTGCAGGTCACAATGAATGCAATGGGATTTTCTGATGTACAATTTAGGTTTCCACTCTAAATGTTGTCAGTATTAGGTGCTCTGTTTTTAGTTAATTATAACCCAATCTTGGTCTACCACACCAGAAGTTATTTTATTCAAGAAGAAATTTCACACACACCTCTTTAAATGCTCCTTTTCTTCCATAAGAGTCTTAGAAGTCTGTGAGCAGCACTGATGATACATTTGATAATGAAACTTTAAAAGCTGCATTTCAGCTTTTATTGCTCTCTGCAGAATTCCCTTACAGCAGTTCGGCAGATGATCAGTTATTTCTTTTGACAGCTGCATCATCCTTTCAATAGAAACATTATTCAGTCTGAACATCATTAAATGCAAACTAAGAGATTATTTTTAAAGTTCACACTAAGAAAAAAATTATCAACTGAGAACTCATTTCCTCATCAAATACTCCCATAACCAGTTATGCAGAGGGTTATGCTCGTTTTGAATGTGGCGTCAAGAATTGCATCATTTATAACTTCTAAGTTAAAATTATTTTTTATTCAGTTAACCTTCAAATACATACCTTCTAATATCTATTTTCTTGGCATACCTTGTGACCCTGCTAATCCTAATTGTCTTAGATTCAGAGAAGTCCTTCAATTAACAGAATTGCTGCTGATTCAGAGAAGGCTGCCACTCTTAACACCCTTTCCCCTGCGAACCCCTCCCTCTCCTTCTATAGAGGCCTCCAATCTGCTCATACTGGGGCGGGAATGGGGGAAAAGGAAAAACTGGCAAAAATCACCTTCCTGCCCTTTTTAGTGAATCAAACTCTATTCCAGGATCTCTGAATCCTACTCATGTTACCTTTATACACATAAGAGTATAATACAGTATGCTCATTAGATCTGTGTACAAAACTTTAAAAGTATACTATACCTGTTAGGGATTTCATTTACTTCTCTGCTAGTGCTATTTTTCCATTCCAAAGGACCCTGGAAAGTTCAATTTTAATTACTTTTAACTGCAAATTGATCAACTGAAGTTGTAATACAGAGTTAACTAGCAAGTCACTAGCCTTGTGGAACATACCACTTTAGAGTTCCAAGAGGACCTTTCTTTGTATATGGGAATGCTGAATTCAAGACAGAAAAAAACCCCAACTGTACACCCGTTCCCTTTATTTGCATGTGAGGAAGTGACTTAGATGTCTCTCCTCAGCATGTGTACCCTGAACTTACATGCAAAAAGCACCTATTAGAATAGAGATGTAAGTTGTACACTCAGACAGGACTTGGACAAGATGGCACAGCACATCTTGGGTTATTTGATAATCCAAGCAGTGTTGGCCATGGGTTCCACATTTCATATTCTTGAGGAACCACTGTGTCATATGAACCTAGAAAGTGTAAATCATGCAAATGTTAAACTATTACATTCAAGAAGAAAGTAAAGTTGCTTACCTATAACTGTCATTCTTTGAGTGGTCATCTGCACATTAACACATATGGGTGCTAGAACTGCACAGTGCTTCTGTTTGGCTAGATTCTCCTAGCTAAGCCTTTTTGGTAGGAGCCCTGTCCTCCTTCTCTCTAGTACAAATAGGTGGTGCTTCTACCATTTTCTCAGTTCACATGGATACCGACAATTGCCCTCAGACCTTGACTGCTCTATAACTGGAAAGACCACCAACACCAATGTGAGGCTGGTGGGTGGGTTGTGTGAATCTGCAGATAAACACTCGAAGAAAGACAGTTACAGGTAAGCAACTGTACTTTTTTCTTTGTGGTCTCTGTGCATCACACATATGGGTAATCAGCTAGCTTACTGGAGGAAGAGGTGGGAGGTGTTGTCACTGGAGAATGAAGGATAGAATGGCACAGCCGAAAGAGCAGTCCTGTTTCACTTTACCATCAAGCTGGTAAAGCGTTACAAATGTTGATTGTGTAGACAAGGTAGCTACTTTACAGTTCTTGTAGTAGAATTTCTGCATGAAGTGTGGTGGGGGTCAATACAGCCCCAGTGGAGTGGGGTTTGGGTTGGTGTGATAATTCCAAGTGCTGCAGCTGGTAAGCTAGCTTGTCTCCATGATCCAGTGGGCTAAATGTTGAGGACTGATCAAGCTGGTAATGCCTTGGGAATGGTCAGCGTATTTTATGAAGTCTTTTACTTTTCATATCAATTCTGTGCAGGACCTGTACAACACTAGTGCTCATCACATATCAAGCACATGTTATTTTGACCAGCACAGATGGGGTCAGAAAAAGGCTGGGAGTACTACGTCTTGATTTAAGTGGAAGGTCAATGAGACCTTCAGAAGAAAGGTTGGGTCTAGTCTGAGGTCTACTCTTTCTTTGTGGAAAGTCAAGTATGGAGAGTCTACTGATAGAGCTTGATAGCTCTCTGGGCTGATGTGATAACCACCAGGAATGAGACCTTCCACAAGAGCATTCATAAATTGATGGTTGCAAGAGGTTCAAATGGGGGTTTCATCAGAGCTTGTAGCACCACTGATAGATTCCAACTAGGAACTACATTCAGATGGGAGGCTTTAGCTTGTATAGCCCACTCATGAATCTCTGTGAAAGGGGATGGGAGAAAACCAAAGATTCATTGATAGGTCCCCTTATATGAGATGGCCAAGAGGTAAACCTTGATGAAAGGTTTCAAACCTCTGGAACTTGTTCCACTTGATGGACTGGAGCGTCTGGTGATAGGTTGCAATGCTGCCTGTAGAATGTGCTGAATTTGTGGGTCTAAGTCAGTTGTTGTTGTGATCAAGTGATCAACCATGCTGTCAGGTGAAGTGTTCAGACATTAGGGTGTAGAATTTTGCCCCGATTTTATGTTAACAGGTCCAGTCTATTTGGTGAGTGAGTGAATGTCTGATGAGAAAGAAAAAGGGACAGAGGAGAGGGAGAATTTGAGATAAGAGGTAGACAATGAAGGGTTTTTTGGGGGGGGGGGGGTAGGAACTGGGTAAAGGTGGTTTGTAAGGAGAATGACATAGAAATGGTTTAGAAGCTGAAGTAAAGTTATGAGGTAAAACTTGAAAGGAGTGCTAAGAATTCCAAGGCACCACAAATGGCAAAATGAGAAAATGGCAGTAGCCCTACCTATCCATTTCTATGCCACCACATAACATGAAAGTTCTCTAGGCAGCTTACAACACTAGAACATAAAAGCATACATAAATTACAATAAAACAAGTATTAATCAGATAAAAAACAAACAATGGAGCACCTCAAATAAAATAAACTCACATAAACCAGCAAGCACAACCAACAAATTAATCAAAATTAAGATTACAAATTTAACAAAATATAAAAGTATTAAATAACTTTAATCAACCACCTCTCTATTTATACTAGAGGGAAGGAGGGCAGGGCTGCTGTCAAAAAATTCTAGGTTGAGCTAGGAGAACCTTTCCAGAGGTACTGCGCAGGTGCAGCACCCATACGTGATGCACAGAGATCATGAAGAACTTTGTATGCTCTCATATAACAATAAAACAGATGGATTATTTGCCCTCATATAACCCATGTTCACCCAGTTGTGGGACATGACAACCCCTAAGCAAAGGTTGCATATTCAAAATAGCAATCTCACTATAGATTAAGTAACCCACAGGAGGCTGTCATGTCATGCAAAAAACCCTAACGCTTACAAAGAAAGTCCTTCTATGCAGAAATGTAATGTTTAAAGTGGCTATTAGTGCCTTACCATTGTTAAATGCAAACTATGTTGCGAATAAACTCTAAATTCCCTTAATAAATTAACTCTTGAAGCACTATAGAAGAGCATGGCTGAAACACCAACTGATTGGAAGGACAGAACCAAAATAGTGATCCCTGTAGCTATAGCAAACTGGTTGCCCTTTGCCTGCATTACAAATTTGATCAAAATAAATATAGCTTTCGTATCTCCAAAAAGAAAATAGATCGCTTCTGAAGAGTATGTGGGGGTGCACACACAGTTTTGTAAAAAGTGTCATGTATCAGCTGATTGGTGCAGGAGCCGCCTAAATTGAGTCTCTCTGAATAGCGGCTCAGAATGTAACTTCTCACAGGTATGTTTAGCATTGTGTATTGACTGGACTGAGGAATCTCATGTCCATTGCCTACTTGCACATGTGATTCAGCAAGGGAAGTGCACTTAGGGTTGTATCCAATGTTTTATGTTCACTAGAACTGAAAGAGCTGTAGAATTTATTCCCTTGTTCCATGCATCACGCTGGGCCTCACAAATGCTGGACAGAAAACATCTGTGTGTCATGTCCAGAAGCGAGAAGTCCATTTATGTGACACTGCATATGCGCTGCACAAAGATGTTTCTGCAAATCTGTGATCCAGCTTACTTTGTGATCAACCTGTGATCTAGGTTAACTTGATAACCCCTGGCTCATAAAATAAATGAAATTATAGAGGACTGAATCCAACTAATCTCTCTACTGACTGAAGACTTCTATGAGAGGTACTGTCTCTTCATCTAGCAGCTTGCAAAGTTTTGGAGAGCTGAGCAGCCCCCTTGAGCAGGTGAGTGATGGCTGCAAGAGGAAGAGGCAGCAATGTTTCCTTTGAATGAGGCAACACATTCAATTCTACTCAGTTGTTACCAGCACAACATATAAAAATTAAGTGTCTGAAAATAACCACAAGTTAGTGATCACAATTTCACAATGGTTACCTCAAAGTCTGAAGTCCAACCACATTTTGCAGTATTATTAGCAATACAGTTTTCCAATGTATCAACCGTTACTGTTTCTGAATTAGTCATCTCCACATTGCCAGGTAAGCATGACCAATCCGTATTGCAGGCAACACTTTTGTGGGAATCCATCAGCCACTCCTTGGGTCTGCGTTTGCTCATCATTGTTATCACTGTATTTTGTGCCCTGGACACCACTGAAGCCTTGACATTAGTTGCTCTACTTGTTGTAAAACAAGCTCTAAAATCAGAAGTAGCATCAACAGCTTGGTTGACTGTACTTTGATTTTTACTGGCTGTATTATTCAAGCATGGAATGTACTTTAGTTTTGCATCTTGGCATCTTCCATGGTGACTATAGGATTTGTAAACACAGGTTTTATTAGCATTAACTATAATTGACTGATTGTGGACATAGGAATCTGAAACTTCTGAATCACCACAAGAAAGATGGCTATGTAATGGTGTTTGCTCCTGATGTAGTGCATGTGGATTTCCAGTTTTCTGAAAAACACCTGTAGCATTGTAATCATTTCTTTTGCAAAAACTTTTATTTGTAGCCATTAGAGATTTCAGTGCTATATTTGTAGAAGAATTTACTTCCATTTTTTCATCAATCTTGGTCTTGCTCACTGAAAATGGTATAGAAGTATTTCTTTCTTTACCAGTGCTAAATGAATCCTCATTAACAATACTATAAAACATACTGCTGGCCTCATCCTTTTCTTGATCATAATTCAAACACTGGCATTTGCAATCTTGAAACACCTGGGGAAATTCTGCAATTTTGCTATAATTGTCACCCTCACCAACAATACTATAGCCAGAAGTAGAAAACTCAGCTTCCAGTTCATTAGAAGAGTGTTGGCCATCTACAAGTCTGTCTTCATTTGCCAGTTCTGTGTTCTGAAATGTTTCTGAAGTCTCTGTTTCTTGCTTAAATGAGTTACAACTAACATAATCTTGTTCTTCAGCACTGTGATATTCTAGCTGTGAATCATCATCAAGGTCACTGCATTTATACTCATCATTTTCACTGTCTCTGAAAAGGAAAAAATCTGTACCACTATCCAAGTTAACTGTTTCATTTGCATCTTCCAATGTAATGGAAATGTCCTGTTGCTTTTTACAAATGAATTCAAGTTCTTCATCAAGTAATGGACTAAACTGAAATAAGGTTGCTTTTGATGACTTTAATTGAGAAGCATTTAAGAAAACTGACTGGTGTGAAATGGAGCAATTAGTTCCTGCTTGGAGTTCACTAGAAATATTTTCAACCTTATTTTTTTTAGAATGTGCTGGCTCATGATGTGTGTTCAAGCCTGTTGAACCTGCACCTTTTTCAACTCCACTTTCTCTCTGTTCCATGATCCCAGCATCAGAACAGCCACTTGAATCCAGTCAGTTTAGTCATTGAATTATTACATTTACTATTTTCATGATGACAGCTGATGGGATTTAATTATTTTTTCCCACTGGTTTAAAGACAAGATATCATTGAGGATGGATATTTCATCACAGGTTCTTCCTAAAGTAAGAAAAAACAAAGATTTGTAATTTATTGACTATTAGAATAAGAATACTAGAAAAGTAGGGCAGACCAGGAAAAGTTGGGTTCTTTTTCTAAGCTTTTCAGAGTCCTTGCTTGTATTTTTATAATTTCTTAAAAGTGTTATTTCTCATATGCAAACAATATACCAGCAGTCTGCAATTAGATTTGGTTTGCATATAACACTAACTGATGGTTTATTTAAGCCAGGGCTGTCCAACCTTTTGGTTTTTCTGGCCTGCACTGGAAGAAAAAAAATGTCTTGGGCCACACATTAAATACACAAGCACTAACAAAAGCTGATAAGCAAAAAATATAAAAAAATAAAAGAGTGGTTCCACTCCTATCTGGCCAGGTGGTGCTGGGGGATTATAGTTCTGCACCATGGCAGCTTTGCCATGGAGTACCGCAGGGTTCCATTTTATCCCCCATGCTTTTTAACATTTACATGAAACCACTGGGAGAGGTCATCAGGAGGTTTGGGCTGCAGAGTCATCAGTATGCTGATGACACCCAGCTCTACCTCTCTTTTACATCTAATCCAGGTAAGGCAGTGGCTGTCCTTAACCGGTGCCTGGCCGAGGTGATGGGCTGAACGAGGGCCAATAAACTGAGACTCAATCCAGATGGCACAGAGGTCCTTTTGGTGGGTGGTTCGGGTTTCCAGGTAAGTGATTTTGGCCCTGTCCTGGACAGGGCTGCACTCCCTCTAAAGGACAGGGTCTGTAGCTTGGGAGTGCTCCTCGACCCAGTGTTGGCCCTGCAGCCTCAGGTGGCAGCAATGGCGAGGAATGCTTTCCTTTAGCTTCGGCCAATCCATCAGCTGCTTCCTTACCTGGACAAGCACTCCTTGGCAACAGTGACACATCCTCTGGTAACTTCCCAGTTGAATTATTTTAGCACGCTCTACATGAGACTGCCCTTAAAAATGGTCCAGATACTCCAATTGGTTCAAAACAGAGCTGCCAGATTGTTGATGGGGGCCAGTCATTATTCTCACATAACACCGGTCCTCTATCAGATACACTGGCTCCCAATTGAAGTTGAGGCCTAATTTAAAGTGCTGGTGTTGACCTATAAAGCCCTGAATGGCTTGGGACCAGGATTCCTGAAGGAACGTCTTCTTCCCTATATGCCCTCCCACCCCTTAAGTTCTGAGGCAGAGGCCCTGCTCCAGGAAACCTCCATGAAGGTTAGGAGAGCGAATACCGGAGGAGAGCCTTCTCCACAGTGGTGCCCCAGCTGTGGAATGCGCTCCCCAGATAGGTTTGCCTGGCACCGTTATATTTCTTTTGGTGCCAGGTAAAAACCTTTTTATTTACCCAGTATTTTAATATTTAAATATTTGAACTATGTTTTTAATATGGTCATCCCCAGTCACATTCTGTAATGCTTGTTATGTTATTGTATTTTGTTGTATTTACTTATTCTTCCAATTTATTTATGTTGTAAGCTGTCCTGGGATGTTTGTATAGGATGGGGTAAAAATACTGCAAATAAATAATAATAATAATATGCATATTTATTTGGAAATAAACCCTGGTAAATTTGGTGGGACTTATTTAAGTAAATGTGCATGGGAATGCCATCTTATATGACTTGTTCTTTCCACATAATATACAGTGGTACCTTGGCTCATGAACTTAATCTGTTCCAGGACTCTGGTTGTGACCCAAGATGAATTTTCCCTTAAGATTCAATGTAAATAAGGTTAATCTGTTCTGTAACCATTTTTTAAAATCAGAAAAATGTGAACCAAAGTGACAAAGAACAAAGATCGCAGCCATCTCCCCCTCCCCCCCCAGCACAAGCATGGTCATCTCCCCGCCCTCCCCCCCAGCACAACTGAGATCGCACCTGTCATCCTTGCACGTGCCTGTAATCCTGGCAAGCTGGGGAGGGGGGAGAGACAGGCGCGATTGCAGGCGCACTGGGGGAGAGAGAGACAGGCACAAGCGGGGCACACGGGGAGAGACGGGCATGATCTTGGCCATCCCCCCACCCCCAGCACAATCGCAGCCATCTCCCCACTCGGGGGGGTGGGGAGGTGGCTGAGATTGAGCCCGTCTTTCCTGAAGAAGCGTGCCCGTAATCACACACGTCTTTCCTGCACGAGTGCACCTGCGATCATGGCCATTTCCCCACTCGGGGGGGGGGGGGAGATGGCTGCGATCTTGGTCACCACCCAATTTGGAGTACGCGACCCATGTCAAAGTTTTCATGAAATTTTTGTTCACAACCCGATTTGGTCATGAACCAAGGCATTCATGAGCCAAGGTACCACTGTATATGTTCAAAAGAAATAATGAGGGAAATAGACCAACTTCAGGATGGATAAGCTGACTGAACAGTTTAGTAGGAGGCTCGAGATATCCATGTTGAAACACAGGTCTATAGTTTTTATTGTAAAGCATTCAGAGAGCCTGTGGCTAATTAAGAATGGTATATAAGAGCTTTAAATAAATGTTTGTGTTTCTGTGGTACAGGTAGCCCCCAAGGTTTGTCTGCCATTAACTGCAGAGAAGCCCATTAATTTTAAAAAATTAGGGCAGAAAATCATGGTCACCACAGAGAGAGAAGTGAAAGAGGAGAGAGGGAGATCTCCAAAGCTTGCCTTCCTGCCCTGCCCATCTGGAGAAGGAAATCTCTCTGGCATTTCCTTGCTGCAAAGAAGTGACACTTGTGAGTTTGGGTGGGAGGGGGCAGCTAGAAATGTTTGCGATTTTTCCACTTTCACAGGGGTCCTGTACCCCTGTATTGTAAGCTGCCATGAGAGGGCAGTAGGCCCTGAAAGGCAAGTTAAAGATACTAACAACAACCTGAATAGTGATATTTAAACTTTGATATACCGTCCACTACTGAGATCTCAGGACTGTCCAAGATATCTGACAAATTAGGTGCATGTAATTTGTCTGATGAGTAATTTTAATCAATAAAAATTAACTACAAAATAACAATGTTGCCAAACTAATGAAAACTAAAACTCACTTACCTGAAGGAACATAAATATTATTAGGCTTCTCTAGAATGTCTGTTATGCAGGCATTCATTTCAGTAGTAGCATATCTATAGTCATTACTTTGACAATGATTAAGTGTCAGATGAGAAAGGTACTACCACAAAATGATATGATGTATCTATAGTTACAAGGCTATGAAGTTCAAGAGCAGATAATATACACTTGGGTAAAAATATAAAGTTATTGCTGAATAACTGCCTCTTTCATAAAGTGAATAATCTCAGAGAAACCATGGCATTGTATACAACAGAGGAACAGCATAGAAATTTTCATCAAAATAAGGTAGGTATGACATAGTTTAGATGTATGTAACAGGTAGGAGGATGCCAGTTAAAATTCCAGGAAAGCAAGGAAAATATATTCATGTTTAAAAAAGGAACAGCTAAAGATTGACTTAAGAATTTAGCCCTGAAACATATTCTCTAACCCTAGAATGTAATCCTATACATGCCTACTTAAAATAAATTCCACTGAACTCAATGGTACTTCCAAGCAAGTATGTACATAGTTAGTCTAAACTTACCTTTGTAAATAGCTTTATGGCTGTGATCAAGAGAACTATTTTAGGTACCCCCAGAATTCTTGCATACCTAGCAAAGTTTGATTTCCCCACCCACAGCATGCCATAGCACAGGCTACTTCAGAGCGCTACTGTATTTCAGAGGTAACTTGTTAATAGCATGGGAATTCATGCTTAGGAAACACAAGGCCAGAACTCAATGGGAACAATCCTTTTCAATACTAGTAGCAGGTGCTTATGGGTTTCTTTCACATCAGATCACAGCGCAGTGAAATTATTTTAACTGGTTTATTATTCATATAGCATTTCCGGTGTCATTCAATGGATAGTCTCCTATATTTCTCAGGTACTAGCAGAAAGTTAGCAATTCTGAAACCATTAGAAATTAGCATTAGTTTCTGTATCCATTAATGCAGCAAGTAAATACAGCTCTAAAAAGAGTTGTGCTGACCCTCTCCCATTCCAGAAACAGGCATTTCCATTCATTTCTGGAGTTGTGTTAAGAAATGCAACACCATTGCGTTAGCCATGGGATCTGCTGACATATTAGGACAAATAGAGGCACAGCAGCAGTTGCACAGGATACTACCAAATATTAGTGCAAGTTGCGATCATTACTTAAAACAGTTACTCTGAAGGTGAGCTAGGTAGATTCATATGAAGCTATGCAATTTTTTTTTTTTTTTTTTTGAGATCAAAGTGTAGGAGAGTTGAGTAGTTTGGGGAGTCAGCTCAGCACAGCTGTACAAGATCAGTATCCTCAAGAATCCTTTCTGCCTTGTCTGCCAGGGAACTCCCCTGCATTTTCCACGGAAATTACATACTGTAGTCATTTCCAATGTGCCTATTTTTTAATCCACACAGAAACTAGGCAGATTTTTCAGGTTAAATTGGTACTCCATAAAGATTGTCCATGGCTGTAGCTTTTATGGGGAGAAAGGCTAATGCTGGCCATTTTTAATCACAATTTATCATCCCACACAGGCATGTTAAGGTTTATGCAGTTGTTAATTGTGACTACCCACCTTGACCAGCCTATAGAACAGCAGTATACAAAATACTTGGTTTAAAATAAATAAGGGTTAGCACAATTCGATTTCAACAGGTGCCCACTATGCTACCCAAAGTGGAAAATAATATGTAGCTTTCATACTGTAACATCAACTCCAAGATGCACTTTAGATCAGTAACATCTAACCTGGAATTTAGCTTTACCTCCAAACTACAAAATGAGCTCACATTGCATTACTAGTAAATCTATTACTTCTCTTTCCTCCACACCCCTTCCAATCCTTCGTCCCTTCCACGTGGCTTAAGCAAAACCGAATAGAAAATTTCCTATGTCCCCTGTATAAGCCATCTGCAGATCCCGACTATGGCTTGCTGGCTCTCCTATCTATCTATAGC